CTAATAAATTACCGTCTGGGGTACTTTCAAAGGAATAGCTGCCTGTTTTCTTATGCTGTATGCATATAATTCATACGCTGTCTCTAAATATCTAAACGTACATGTAGCTTACTACTTTATTACTTTCATGCCTCTGTTCAACTGTCACCGAATTAAAGAGGCCTTTCCTGATCACTCTGTATAGATTAGCACCCTTCTCCCCCCTTCACTCTGCTTCAGTGAGTGTGAAGATGTATAGGCATTTCTTTCTCTCATCCTCATTAAGTGGTTATTTTTATTTCTTTAGCATATACTCATCTTTCCTTACCTCAGACCTCAAATTTCGCTTCTTTGCCAGAGTAATTCCTAAGTTGGCCCACAAAATAATGTGCAAGCAACAATGTTCATAATGTTTTAATAATATAGCATAAATACGTACTGAGCATCAGACAAAATGTGCACCCAGCGGACAGTAAAATGGTTGCATGGTTTAGCAATGCAGTGTTGTTGAGTCCAGAGCAGAACTCTGCAAACTAGTCTTCTGTGCTTTGTCAGCCTTTGGACCCAGGGTGACAGTCAATAACCCAACTATCCTACACACTTACCTGTTGGGAATTTTAAGACTGCAAAGGTGGTGGTTGTTAATTGAGATGTAATTCACAGACCATAAAATTCACCTTCATCATTATAAAATTCAGAAGGTTTTGTATATTCACAAGATGTGCCACCATCATCACTATTTAGTTCCAGAACATTTTCATCAAAAGGAATCCCATACCCTAGTCCCTCCTTCCCCCAGTCACCTGGTAACTACTAATCTGCTTGCTGTGTTATGGATTTGTCTCTTCTGGATATTTCACATAAATGGAATCATACAATATTTGGCCTTTTGTGGCTGGCTTCTTTCATTTAGCATGTTTCCAAGGTTCATCCATGTTGTAGCATGTATCAGTACTGCATTCCTTTTTATGGCTGAATAATTGTCTGTTGTATGGAATCACTATATTTTATTTATTCATCAATTGATAGATATTTAGGTTGTTTCCACTTTGGAGCTATTATGAATAATACTGCTGTGAACATTTGTGTACAAGTTTTTGTGTGAGCCTATGTGTCATTTCTCTTGGTTATATACCTATGAGTGAAATTATTGGGTCATATGGGAACTCTGTGGTTAACCTTCTAAGGAACTGTTTTCCAAAGCAGCTACACTGTTTTACATTCCTACCAGCAATATATTAGGGTCCTAGTTTCTTCACATCCTCACCAACACTTGTTATTATCTCTTTTATTATAATCATCATAGCGGGAGTGAAGTGGTATCTCATTGTGGTGCTGATTTACATTTCCCTGATGGCTAATGATGTTGAGCATATTTTCATGTGCTTATTGGCCATTTGTATACACTTTGGAGAAATATCTGTTCAGATCCTTTGCCCTTTTTTTTTGGCAGTACGCGGGCCTCTCACTGCTGTGGCCTCTCCCGCCGCGGAGCACAGGCTCCGGACGCACAGGCCCAGCGGCCACGGCTCACGGGCCCAGCCGCTCCGCAGCATGCGGGATCCCCCCGGACCGGGGCACGAACCCGCGTCCCCCGCACCGGCAGGCGGACTCCCAACCGCTGCGCCACCAGGGAAGCCCCCTTTGCCTATTTTAAATTAGGCTATTTGTCTTTTAATTATTGTGTTGTAAGAGTTTTTTACATATTTCACATACAAGTCTTCTATCAGATTTGCAAACTTTTTTCCCATTCTGTGGGTTATCTTTCTACTATCTTGATGGTATCCTTTGAAGCACAAAAGTTTTACACTTTGATGAAATGCAGTTTATCTGTTTTTTCTTTGGTTACTTGAGCTTTAGGTGTCGTATCTAAGAGACAATTGACTAACCCAAGATCATGAAGATTTAAAGTTATGTTTTCTTCTCAGAGTTTTATAATTTTCGCTCTTACAATTAGGGCTTTGATCCATTTTGAGTTAATTTTTATAGATGGTATTAGGTAGAGGTTCATTGTTATTCTTATCTATGTGTTTATCTAGTCCCAGAACAATTTGTTAAAAAGACTGTTCTTTTCCTCCAAAATTCTCCTGGTCCTCTTGTTGAAAATCAATTCACCGTACATCTATGGGTGTAATTCTGGACTCTCAATTCTATCCATCTATATATAGCCTATGCTTGTGCCAGTACCCACACCATCTTGATTACTGTGGCTTTTATTTTTATTTTTATTTTGCGGTACGCGGGCCTCTCACTGTTGTGGCCTCTCCCGTTGCGGAGCACAGGCCCAGAGGCCATGGCTCACGGGCCCAGCCACTCTGAGGCTGTGGGATCTTCCCGGACCGGGGCACGAACCCGCGTCCCCTGCATCGGCAGGCGGACTCTCAACCACTGCGCCGCCAGGGAAGCCCTACTGTGGCTTTTACAGTAAGTTTTTTTTTTTTTTTAATGTATTTATTTATTTATGGCTGTGTTGGGTCTTCGTTTCTGTGCGAGGGCTTTCTCTAGTTGTGGCAAGTGGGAGTGACTCTTCATCGCGGTGCACAGGCCTCTCACTATCGCGGCCTTTGTTGTTGCGGAGCACAGGCTCCAGATGCGCAGGCTCAGTAATTGTGGCTCATGGGCCCAGTTGCTCCGCGGCATGTGGGATCCTCTCAGACCAGGGCTCGAACCCGCGTCCCCTGCATCAGCAGGCAGATCTCAACCACTGCGCCACCAGGGAAGCCCTACAGTAAGTTTTGAAATCAGAAAGTGTGAATCTTTTAACTTTGTGCCAAGGTAATTTTGAAATTGAGTTTAACTTAATTAGATAAAGACCAGTAGACGAGGAGCTCTTCTTCAGAACAAGCCTAAGCAGGCCCCACACCAGCCTGATTCTTCGAAACGGGTGGGCTCTCTAGACTTAGCCAGCCAGTTGCACTCTTTTCCTTCATTTATTCGTCAGTGATTTTAGGGAGTTTTTATAGTAACATAACTGTGAGCAATGTTGAAAGTTGGACAATGTAAAGAAAAATCTAGTGTCTGGGAGATAGTTTTGGAAATCATTTCATCCCAAGTGGGAGACATTAAGGTTTTTAACCAGAGCAGGGATAGTAGGGGTAGGACACTTTCAGGAAGTGTTAGAGGTAGAATTTCGAGGACTTGTGATCGATGAGTTATGGTTGGTAAAGGAGTTTAGGGATCGCAGGTACTTGTATTTCCAGCTTGTGGATGATGTGTGGGACTAGATAGTGATGGCCTGAGTAAAGATACACAGTAGTGTCATCTGGTCTTTCAAGAAGTCCTACAAAGTTGGAGCAGAGAACAGGATTATGAGAAGGTTTATTTAAGTTTTGTTTTGTTGGTTGTGTTTTAGGGAAACTTGCTATTTAATTATCACTTTAGATCCCAGAAGAAACAGAGCAGACACTTTTCCTTCTAAGATGGTTGGTTGGAGAGTTGTTGTTTGATGGTTTCTATTTTCCCTGGAGCTAAAGTTTGGAGGTGGGGTAGGTTAGGAACTATGGAACTTCAGGGTAGTGAAGGGTTGGAATAGCCACTGAGAAATGTAGATAAAATAACAAGGACACAGAAAATAGGAATGAAAAAGACAAGACAGAGGATCGATTCAGGAAGTCCAACAGCTAAGTATTATTTCCTGAAAGAGAGAAGAGAGAAAACAGAGGGGAGGAAATTATCAGTGAAATAGTTGAGGAAGCACAGAATGAAGTTTCCAGATTGAAAGGACCCACTTGAATCCCCTAAAATAACACCAACATCACCGTGAAGATGTAAGTAACTGCAGGTTTCCAGAGAAAGAACACCGGTCACTTGGAAAGGATCTAGAATCAGAGTGACTCCAAATTTCTTAGCAGCAGCCAGTTTGCTTTTTTTATATATATGTATATAAATTTATTTATTTTATTTATCTTTGGCTGCATTGGGTCTTCGTTGCTGCGCGTGGGCTTTCTCTAGTTGCAGCGAGCAGGGGCTGCTCTTCGCTGTCGTGCACAGGCCTCTCATTACGGTGGCTTCTCTTGTTGCGGAGCACGGGCTCCAGGCACGCGGGCTTCAGCAGCTGTGGCTCACGGGCTCTAGAGCGCAGGCTCAGTAGTTGTAGCACATGGGCTTAGTTGTTCCGCGGCATGTGGGATCCTCCTGGACCAGGGCTCGAACCCGTGTCCCATGCACTGGCAGGCGGATTCTTAACCACTGCAGCACCACCAGGGAAGCCCCAGTTTGCTTCTTAGAAGCAAGACAATGAACAGTGTCTCCAAACTGCTGACAGAAAATGATTTTCAGCTCGTAATTGTATGTGCAGCCAGATTATCAGTCAACTTTGAGGGTAGAAAAAAGATGTTCAGACATTCAGGGTACAGAATTGAGGGAATATGCCAGGAGAAAGTAGTAGCCCATGGCACCCGGGATGGGGCCTGCCCTTTCCTAACAGATCTTGCTTCTAGTTAACTCATTATGTGCAGTTGTTACGTTGACACGTTAAAACTTTGAATAGGCCACTGAACTGTTCAGTTTTAAATTATTAGAATAGTATATCCATTTAACACACACACACACACACACACACACACACACACACACACACAAAGATAAATGGGAGGGAGAAGCAGCCAGCCAACAACTCAAAGTTTCGCTGAAAAGGGTTGATAAGGGACAGCAGTTGAGGGGCGGGCGTTGGGAATGGTGTACAATCTTTGTACTGTTTCCCCATGGAAAGCGTTTTAAACGTGGAGTCAGGAGATCTCAGGCTGTGTCTAAGGGCCAGGTCTGTGCACAGCAGGATGTGGGTCGGTCTCACCGGGACGCTTTCTGTTATTTCCTGGCTGTTCCCGAGGCCTTGCGTTTCCTGTTCCACCTGGGGCAGCTCTCCCCAGTCTTCACGTGAGAAACTCAAGCTTTGATGACACAAGTTTTTCCGCCATTTAAGTACTTTGACCAGTGACCTATGGACAAATGTGTAATTCAGAAAAATTAATGTAGCCTAAACACATCTCATTCTCTTACAGCCTGGGGACTATAAAGTGAAAATGGAGCAACAAGAACCAGCAGATTCTCAAAATACCAAGCAGTCTATTATCTCAGAGGAGGTATACATTGATTTTTACTTCCCTTCTCCTTTGCCATATTAAGCTGAGTTTAAAAGAAATGTATAGACTATTTGCTCTTTCAAATGATTGTTTTTCATTCTTTTTTTTTTTTTTTGCGGTATGCGGGCCTCTACACTGTTGCGGCCTCTCCCATTGCGGGACACAGGCTCCGGACGCGCAGGCTCAGCGGCCATGGCTCACGGGCCCAGCCGCTCCGCGGCATGTGGGATCTTCCTGGAC